GTGTTATTCTCTTTATGCCATCATTAACATTTCCAGTTCAAGCACAGGGAAATGGTCTTATTTTCTCCTGTTGCCGTGGTGAATCATGTTATCTGACTTCCATTGATGAGGGCTTTGTGCTCCAACTTAACTCAGGGTAACTTGATTCAGGATTGAGTTACCCAGTTGATATCAGCTGTTTTGAAACTGAAAATCCCGAGTATCATAGAGCGAGGTAGGATGATTCAGAATATCTGCCTTCTRCCCAGGGCTTGTTAAGCCTGCTTTCTGAAACGGGGCCCTGGTGTCAGAGCTTTGTTTGTTGAATCATCTCCACAGTTAGATTAGTATGTGTCTCCACAGCTGCCTTCATTGTCACCTAATCTAGTTTCAGTTCTTTTTGTAAAACAATAAAGCCTTTTTTCCTCTTATTATTTTTTTTTGCAGCATTTCGAGTCCATCTGTCGATTCAGTCTTCATTTTTCCTTGGAGATGTTAAACGATTGTTTAACTGAGTATCAGGCTGCTGTCAAAGATGTGAGGACACAATTCAATCAAATTTATTCTATCTCAAACTGTAGCTAAATGTTGGTAAAATCTATGGGATGATGTTTCCAAACAAGGAGTTGTTTCCAGCAGTTTTTCTGTTTATCACATCCATAAATAGGTGTTCCTATTGAGCTTGTGGATTCCTACAAATATTTGTGGATTTTAATTAATTTTAACTGAATTTCAGAAATATATTTTGAGATTCTCTTGATATAAAAATGATGACTTAAACCTTTGGCAATAGTAAAGTTAGGGAATCATCAGTTGATGTACCTCATTTTCATATTTTACAGGTAATATACAGAGTGTGTGACACGCAGAAAGCAGAAAACATCTGGGGTTCCACAACTGTCCAGTTTTATTATGTTCTGTATCTTTACATGCATGTGTAATTCCATAAATTATCCTTAAATAAGACTTTTTGTCCTTTTCTATAAAAAGTAAAAGGTACATCATTAATTTGAAGGGTTACGCTTACTAGAAATGAGCACTTTTGATTATTAAAAATGTGCTTTTCCCTCTGAACGTTTGTGTATAAAACATTTTTATTAATTTGCACAACTGGGAATAAAATAACTGAAGCATAATTATGAACTATGTGTTTTGATAAAATAGCATTATTCCAAACTCTTCTTTATTAGCAAATTCTTGTCACTAGTTTTAGAAAAAYACTTAACATTAAAGCTTGTCCTTTCCTAAATTTATATTTATACAAGATAATATTCATGTAAGAGACCCTTCATCCTGATGTTGAGGACAGTAGTTTTGTACTTATCAATTAAAAAAATTAAAAGATTTTAAAGGTCTGAACTCAAAGGGATTGAATTGTTTGGAGGGGGGGCTAACTTTACAGGGCTGCCCTCCCTGTCCCGCTCTTATCGCGCCCCTGATACAGAYGCTGTTTAAAGTCTCGCGAGACTTCTCACGTCGCCTAGTAACGTGACTCAAACACCCCGCAGGTCCTGACCTACCTGCTCGCCCYGGCCTGCGCTTGTTTTAGCTTAAATAACTAAAACACTGGTTCGCTGTAATTTGTGTTTTATTCTGTTTGTTTTTTTGTAGATTTAAAACAAGAAGCTAAACTTAAAATGTCTGTATTGTCCCAGCCCACCTTTATCTTTGGCCTGCGGAGAGATGTGACCAATAACCTGTGTTTCGTGGACGAGCAGACGGTGGTGTTCCCCAGCGGCAGCAGCTGTGTGAGCCACAACATCGTCCAAAGATGTCAGCGGTTCTTCCCAGGTTATTTACAGCCACAGATTTTAACAAAAACAAAGTCATGGTTAGAAACTTAATGCATAAGTTTATTTATTCGGCGCTTCTGTCTTTACTGAGTTATTATCTCATGTTAGGTTAATTATACGGGACTGGATGACCTGTTTTATCCCATTTTAAATTAAATGCTATGTATGAATTAACTAATCAGCAGGTGTGTATTTACTGTAACAGTAGGAAAGGAGTGCAAGGAAAAATGTAGAGTAAGAGCACCATCAGTAACAAAAGTCTAAATATGTATTTATTTACTGGTTTTAATAAATGTATTTATTAGTTCAAGAAATAAACCATGTTTATTTGCATTAAAAGTACCAGARGTTTTGATGGTACCCCATTAAATTAAACTACATCCCTTCCAGGWATAAAAAAAATTCTTACAAAAATTCTCCCAGAGACAAAGTCAGAATTCAAGATKAATTCTAAAAAGAATGGCTTTGACTRTGTATATGTAATGTCTGATAATCACCAGGGACCTTAACGGTGAGTACGCACAAAAACCTTGCGTACGCCATTTTCCACGCAAAACTCCGGATGTATCAAAACTGAAAAGAATGTGGAAATGTGCGCAGACCCCACGCTAACTCCAGGGCTGGCGTACGCACATTTCTGTGGTTCTGGTTTCATTGGCGACACTTAGAGGTGATTCTGAGAAACTGTTCATGATGTGAAAATGATTATTGTTCACAGCAGACACACATGATTAACAATTATTACATCCACATGATTAACAATTATCCACATGATTAACAATTATTACATCCACATGATTAACAATTATTACGTC